GACTCAAGGGAGGGGCTCAGGGGGTTGTGTGCGCCCTCACCCCGCCCTGGGCCCCGGCTGCTCCTGCCCTCAGGCCCAGGCAGCCCCCTCCTCCCTTGGCCTCCCAACCTTCAGTTAGTGGTTGCCTTGGCGTTCCCGTTTTGCTTTTCCAGCCCCCGCCCCCCGCCCTCATTTAAATTGTTAGAATGGAGATGGCGAGGTGGTTCACGCCTGTAATCCCATCACTTAGGAGGCCGAGGCGGGCGGATATCCTTAGCTCACTAGTTGGAGTCCAGTCTGAGCTAGAGCAAGACCCTGGTCCCTAAAAATAGCCTGCCGTGGCTCAGTGGCTGTAGCTCAGCGGCTAGGGCGCTGGCCACATACATCGGGGCTTGCGCGTTCCAACCCGGCCCGGGCCTGCTAAACAACGACAAGTACAAGAAAATAGCCGGGAGTTCTGGTGGGCGCCTGTAGTCCCAGCTACTCAGGAGGCTGAGGCAAGAGAATTGCCTAAGCCCAGGAGATGGGCTGTGACGCCACAGCGCTCTACCGACGGCGATAAAGTGAGACTCTGTCTCTAAAAATAATAATAATACATTTAAAAATAAATAAATAGATAAATCGTTAGAATAACCCTGACGTTCAGGCTGCAGCGTCCCCAGGCGCCTCTGGAACTTGCTCTTTACCCGGGGGTCGCTGGCAGAGCAGAGGGCTTTAGAACGTGAAGATCTCTGACTTGAGGCAAGGCTGCAGGAGCGCAGTTACTTTGCCAAGTACTGAAGCCACCTGCTAAGTGGCATCGCGGAGCTCTTCCGTCTTCAACCCGCTTCTTCACTGGTAAATCAAATGAGGACATGACAAGCACATCTGCCTTCAGATTAGCACCCTGGTAGGGAAAGGCCGTTCCAGAGACTCCCGGTGGCCTCTACCGTGTCGGCCCTACCTCTACCTGGCAGAGCCAGTCTGGGAGTTTTCCAGTTGCAGGTAGTCCATTCACTTGGACTTTGGCGAACTGTAGAGGTGACCACAGAGGAGGTTGAGGACCCACTAAGACAGACGGTACTTATATCGACACCATCAGCCCTCACTCTAGCAGACCAGTAGCATCTTGGACCCCTGGAATTAGTAACAATTCAGAAACAATAAAGACTAACTGCCTACCCCAACCACTGCCCCCAAAAACGGGTTTTTCCTTTCCCGGGGCACCATCACCCTAGCAGATGCCTGCAAGGACCCTTGATAATGTCTGGAGGAAAACAGCAAGTGCTGGCTCAGGGCCCACAGCACAGTGCTTATGGAACCAGTCACATACGTGGAAGTTGGCAGGTTCGAACCCAGCCAGGGCCAGCTAAAACAACTGCCACAAAAAAGGTGTTGTGGCCGGCACCTGCAATCCCAGCTACTTGGGAGGCTGAGGCAAGAGAACTGCTTAAACCCAAGAGTTCGAGGGTTGCTGTGAGCTGTGACGTCACAGCACTCTACCGAGGGTAACATAGTGAAACTGTCTCAAAAAAATAAAAATTAATTAATTAATTAATTAAATAAAAATATGTCACCACGCCCCGTACGACCCTGACCACAGCACACGGCCGGGGCAGCTACCCACACATACCCAGAACCGAGTCCGTGTCCCCGCCTGCAGCGCGCACTACCCAGATCCGCGTCCCCGACCCAGGCGGCCGCGCGCACGTACCCACAAGAAATCCGAGTGCACGCGGCACGCAAGTGCCCAGATTCGCGTCCCCGCCCAGGGCTGCCCCGCGGAAGGGGCGGGGCGGCGTGCGCCTGCGCACTCGCACCCCCTGCCTCTCAGTCAAGCACCTCCCATCGGGGATTCTGGATACCTTTTTTTTTTTTTTTTTGAGATGGAGCCTCAAGCTGTCCCCTTGGGTAGAGTGCCATGGCATCAAGCTCACAGCAACCTCCAACTCCTGGGCTCAA